AAAAAATGTGTAAAATGATGTAAAAATAAACTTTGTAATAAAAAAAATAATAATAATAAAATAAAAATAAATAAAAATAAATAGAGTATTAATTGATTTATAAGACACTTAAACCAGGATATATGGTTGTAGTTAACATCGATGTTTTGGAAATGACTGCTGCTACCTACATTTTATCTAGTACATTTTACCTTAATAAATGAGTTAAGAGTTCAAATACTTTACCATCTCCTTTTCACTCATCATTTCTAGCTTACTTTCATTTTCATTGTAGCTTCAAGACTAGAAATTACCTCCTAAGTGCCAAAATTCAATAAAGTCACTTCTTAATTTCAATTAACCTCTGTAAAAAACTTTCAACACTACTGCCCAACCCCCTTCATGAAAGTCTGTTAACTCTGTGGTAAACGTAATTTTAGGCACCTCTCTGGTTAAGGTGTTAAGGGGGTTAAGTCTTAGTACTAGGAAGCTATCAGCAGCCACTGCAACACAAGTTCCATCCCTGGCCAGAGAGCTAATACACGTGGCACAGCAGACCTCTGCTGCCTCACCACTGCTCTCCTCAGCAATATATGTCAGCCATTCGGCCCCGTTCTGCTCCACGTGCAATCCCTAGTGAATCCTCTCTCTCTAACACACACACCCCACACTTCTGCTCTAGACCCCAGCTCTTGCATGTATAATAAATGTTAAAAAAAAAAAAAAGCATAATTCTAAGTATCACACTAGCTGATAACACGGCCTTGTATTTCCTTCCCCATTTCTACCCCTGATAGAATAACTAAAGATTTAGAACCCACTCAACATTCACATTGCCCCTTTATATTTAACTTTCGAAAAATAATGTTAAGTAATTGAAGATAAAATATGGGATACTTACCTCAAAATGATAGCCCCCATCTCATTCTTTTAGGAAAACAGGCACCATCACTGATTTTTTAAAAGTAACGTTTTCATGGAAGAATTTTTTCACATTAGAAGATACACTAAAAAGAATCAAGATAAAAGGTATTAATACCTAAATGTGCTAAATGTTAAATAAAGTATAGCAGATAAATTATTAATATATTACTATGACTCTTAATTGCTTATAACTTTTTTTTTTTTTTTTTAGATTTATTTGTGCCTACAGAACTGAGGTACAGGCCAGAGGCCCAGGGGTGGCGAGAGGCTCCACCAGAGACAGAGTGGGGAGCAGAACAGGCAGATGGACAAAGCACACTGCTGAGGGGAGCAGCAGGCTGGTCAGGAAAGGTCTGCCGTGCCATGTGGTCACCTCCAGGGCAGGCGGGAATCGAACTCATGAGGAAGTGGCTTTAGCTTCTCAGTGCTGTGCTCTAACCCGCTGCGCCACCAGGGAGGGCCATAACTATTTTTTTAATATAGGGAAATACAGAAAACATATGAACCACAATATTAAATTATAGAATATTAGAGATGAAAGGAACTTAAGGGGATGACCTGTGTGATTATATAAATTCTCTTGTTCAGGTTGCTTCCTCTTTATTTCATATTCTTTCCCATAATACTCTGGGTTCCTACTTTTCAATGTATTTACTTACATCACAAGCTGCTAACTATGTGTAACTTTTTCATTCCCCCTTAGTATCTGACACACACAAAATATACAGAAAGCAATACCTAAACAAGCATAAAATACTATAAATCACTACCCATAGACCAATAACATTCTATCTACCTATGCAATCCTCTCTTTCTGATCTTGATCCTGAAAACTAATTATTATATTACTTAAAAAAATAAACCTGTCACATAAACATATATCCCTAAATAATATTTTGCTTAGTTTCACATCCCTCATTCCTTCCTTCCCTGCTCCTTTTTCTTTTTCAGCTTGACAAGTTAATGTTCTATGAGTCTCTAGAGACTTGTATTTTTTTCACTCAAAATATTTTTCTAAGCTTTATCCATGCTACATTTTTGTTGCTGTCTAATATTTCACTAGATAAACATGCTACAATGTATTATTCACTCTAAACATTTGGATGGTTTACATGTTTTCCTTCTCATCAACAATATTACAACACATTCTTCATAAGAACAAGAATTGAGGTGACCCACATGGTGTAGCAGACCTCTCCTGATCAGCCCGTATTTCAGTACATCTGCCTGTTCTGCTCCCTACTCAGCAGTGTATTTCAGTACATCTGCCTGTTCTGCTCCCTACTCTGTCTCTGCTGAATCCTCTCACCCCCTGCACCTCTGACCTGTACCCCAGTCCTTATATGCATAAATAAATAAATCTTTTTTTAATACCAAATTATCCCCAACAGTATCACTTTCCCAACTCACTAGCAGTATATAAATTAATAATACACACCTCTCCGATACTTCATAAAGTCAGGTTTCTTTATTTGTAGCAACATAAGACATCTAAACTATTACCTCACTATGAATTTAGTTTGCATTCATTTCATCATCTTGAAGATCTAATAAAGTTGAAGACCTTTTCACATGTTTATTAATTATCTATATTCCTTTCTACATCCATTTGCTCAGCTTAAGGCCCTTTTAATTGGGTTATCTTTTTCTTATTTTGTAATAAACTATATATTCAGGACAGGACAGACTATATAATTTACAAGGACCTGTACAAAATTAAAAACCAGGTAAACTTATTCAAAAATTAAGAATTTTGGTGCAAGGGGTTAAATCTTAGCACTATGATGCAACTGTAGTCACAGACAGGGAGCCAACCCACATGGCATAGCAGACCTCTCCTTTCTACCCACTGCTCACCTCAGCAGTGTATATCAATCAATTAGTCTGTTCTGTTGCCACTCTTTCTGGTGAATCCTCTCACCCCTCACACTTCTGCCTAAATGCCAGCTCTTGTATGCATAAATAAATAGGTATTTTTTTTAAAAATTAAGAATTTCAAGACAGTGATAGCTTAGCATTAAAACAAGGGTAGGGTTCAATGTGATAGCACAGATTGTACATTCATGACAACAGCCCTATTCAGAACCTAATTCTCTAATATATAAATCATATTAATTTATTTTCCAAACTTGTAGTTTCATTTTCATTTCTTTGCCTTTTTATCTTTATCACCTTTTTCTTTATGGTGTCAAGATAAACATTAATTTTAACTACTTATTTAGTTGACTTTTCTGTCTTATAGAGAAAATCCTAGTGTTCACATCAAGTTTTCTGGCTTTATGTTTCCATTTGAGCCCTAAATCAAGGATGTTTTCCAAAGATCATGGAGTTCTTAGCCTCCTCTCAGTTATTATGTCCCATTCTTCCTTAATAACATTTTACAGTTTACTTAAAGAATGAAGTATCCTGGCCCTCCCTGGTGGCACAATGGGTTAAAGTGCAGCACTGCAGAAGAGGGCTCACCTCAGCAGTGTACTTTGTCAATCTGCCAGTTCTGCTACCCATGGTTTCTGGTGAATCCTTCCTGTACCCCAGTTCTGTATATATAAATAAATCTATCTTAAAAATAAAAATGAAGTATCCTAATCAACACCATTTAAATCACTTCTTGGCAAGATTATGCAAATTAGAGTCAGTGTTGCAAAACAAATTTGAATTATTTGCACTTGTCAGTAATATTCTAAGTTAGAAATTTTAGGTTTTTAAAGACGTATTTATTAATGAATACAAGAAGTGGGGTACAGGCCAGAAGTGAGGGAGGGTGAGAGGACTCACCAGAGACAGTGGGGAACAGAACAGGCAGAGGATTAAAATACACTGCTGAGGAGAGCAGCAGGCAGGACAGCAGAGGTCTGTCTTGCCATGTGGGTCAGCTCCCTGGCTGGGGATTCAACTCATGCTGCCGTGGTTGCCGATACTTTCACAGTACTGCACTGTAACTCACTGCACTACCAGGGAGGACCCCTAAATTAGAAATTTTCATAACAAATTTCAAGTATCTGGCTAGAACACTATACATATAAATGGAGAAAAGGTTGAAACATCTTCAAATTTCATGAAATTAGTGGGAATCAAATGATAGCATAATTGTATTAAAGTTAAAACTTTTTCATTTTGTAGCCAAAATAAAATTTGGCTAGGAAGGAAGTTATGTAATTCTAATGTTGGTATCCTTGTTTTTGAAATAAGGTCAATTAAGTCTTTTCAAAAGAAAGGAATATTATTAAACAGATTTTAGAATGATGCCAAAATATGTCAGTCAGCTTACCTTCCAAACTAAGGGAACTAGTAACTCAAAAATAACCAGTTTGCTGGTGCTGGATGTTAATAATTGAGAGGCCATATATATATGAAAATTCTCTATATCCCCTACTAAATTTTACTCTGAATCTAAAATTGCACCAAAAAATAATGCCTATTTATTTAAAAGGGAAAAAGAGGCCCTCCCTGGTGGCACAACAGCTTAGAACACAGTATTGCAACTAGCCACAGCTGCTTCAGTGTACCCCAAGGTGACCCACATTACACAGCAGACCTCTCTTGTCTCGCCTGCTGCTCCCCTCAGCAGTGTACTTTGTCATTGTGTCTGTTCTGCTCCCCACTCTGTCTCTGGTGAATCCTCTCGTGGCCCCTGTACCCCAGTTCTGTATGCATAAATAAATCAATCTTTAAAAATAAAAGGGGGGGCTCTCCTTGGTGGCACAATGGGTTAAAACACCAATCTATGAAGCTCTCAGAAGCCACTGTAGCCCCAATCAAGGAGCTGACCAACATGGCGTGGCAGACCTCTCCTGACCTGCCTGCAGTTCCCTCAGCAGTATAGATCTGCCTGTTCTGTTCCCCACTCTGTCTCTGGTGAACCCTCTCACCCACCATACCTCTGGCCTGTACTCCAGTTCTGTAAGCATAAATAAATAAATCTTTTTTTAAAAAAAGGGGGAGAAAAAAGAAAAGGAAATTTGTCGAGTACAGAAAAAAACCAATTGACATAATATAGGGTAATAATTAAATATAATATGTATTAGGCTTGTAAAGTTAACAAAATTACTCTGATGTTGTCTTCAAACACAGAATTAAATAATTTTTTGTAAAGTTCCTAATGCTTTAAGTGAAAACTATTACTAATCACACACATGAAGAGCCAATCACATGTACAACTTTAATGTAATAAGGGAAAACAGAATTTACTAGATTATCATCATCATCACTTACTAGGTCTAGATCATCATCATCATAGACCTATAGGGCCTCAATTATTCAATATGTAAGTTAATAAGAAATAGGTTCTTATGGCCCACCTTGATGGCGCAGCGGGTTAAAGCATAGCACTGAGAAGCTTAAGCCACTTGCGCATGAGTTCGATTCCCGCTTGCCCCGAGGAGATCCACATTGCGTAGCAGACCTCTCCTG